TCATCTGTGTGTCCGATGTGGCTTTTTCCAGGGAGCTAGCTTGTTGTGCCGAAAGTCAAACTGGTGGGTTATTAACTGGTTGTGAATCTTTTTTGTTTGTTTGTTTGTTGTGTTTGGTTTTTTTGATGTGGTATGAAATTCACAGCCTCTGTGGTGAATTTCAGCATTAGAAAAAATATATAAATTGTTCAGTGAATTGTAAATCTAGCTGGCTGGAGTGGGGGAATGGAATTAATATTCTCCCCTAAAGTACTTTTTTTTTTTTTTTTTTTACTGTGAGAACTATCTGATGGCTGGCAAGTAACCAGCATTGTGTTTTGTTTTGTTTTTTTTCTTTTTGCAAACAGTACATTTCGCAAAGCATCATTGTTTGGTGAAATATTTGTGTTCTTACCATGTATCCCTAATATTTGAAATTTTTGGACCCGTGTCCATGCAGAGTTCCTTCTTTCCTTTCCAGATGAAGGAATCAATTGTGCCATGATGAAGGATCTGAGAATGTTCTTACAGAATGAAGTGTTTACTTTAAAACAGTTTGAAAAGCAAACACTTGTAAAGCATGTCAAAATTCTTCCACAGTGCTCGTCTAGAGTACTGTTTTTATTTTTCTTGCATGGCAGTTTCCCTTCTTTGTGCTGGCTGGTGGTGGATATTTTAAGATTTTTTTTTTAATGCTGTACAAGCACACTTGTGGGAGGGACGGGGCTTTAGCAGGTGTAGTTTTTACTTTGATGCAGAACTATAACCCTCCCTTTAATTCTGTTACCAGTTTTCCATAAGGCTCAGTCTCTCAAATGTTGCTTTATTTCTGTACAGAAGATCATTTTGGATAATGACAATGGAAACCTTATTAAATGGCAACTGGAAAGAAAACCCAAAAACTTTTTGTCCTTTTTCTCAATTGTCCCCTCCTGATATTAATGTAAAAACCAAAAGTATGAGAAAACTCTTCATGTGATGGTTTGTTTATGAATGCAGAGACTTTAAAATGTGATGTCTTTAGCTTTCATTTAAAAACCATACAAAAACTAAATTTAATAAAGTGCCACATTTCCAATAATTTCTCTTATCGAAATTCATATTTGAAAATTGCTTTGCACGAAAAATGATTAACTTTTGTCTTTATCCTACGGCCTACTGCCCTCCCAGGAATAAAGTGTCAGGGTTTACTATTATTTCCAATAAATGACAAGGAATAAATTGTATTTTCCACATGAATGTAGAAAGAAAAAAATAACTATCAGTCCACTCTAATTTATAGTTAATAGTCGGGTTCATAAAGATGTATTTTCACTCGTAGATAACTGTAGTTAGTGGATTGTTTTGAAATTCCACTGGATTTCAGTACAACAGCCAGCAGTACACACTGTTTTCTCCTCTTTCCTTCTTTCAGGTTTTCCCATCATATGATCCCCGGTCCTCCCGGTCCCCACACAACTGGCATCCCTCATCCAGCTATTGTAACGCCTCAGGTGAAGCAGGAGCATCCTCACACTGACAGCGACCTAATGCACGTGTAAGTAGGTCCTCATGCTCACCTGCGAATGAGCATTCACTGGTGTCACTTCTTCCCTGTCGTTGAGCCTCCCCCTTCTCTGTCGTTCGGAAATTGCACATGGCTCTGCCTGGAAAGGCTTTGGCCCTGAGAACCTTCAACAGCTTGAGTCTCACCTCCGTGATTTGCTTCAGAGATTGGAAAGGAGCACAGGCCTTCAAAGTTCATGGAAATCTTACCAGAAAGGAGGAAGGTTCAGGACACAGGCAGGAAGAATCTTGAGCTAGTTAGCTTCCAGGCCCCCTGGATCTTAATTGAGCTCAGAGTGATAGGGAAGAACCTGTTAGTCCTTGAGTGAAGTAGATTGGGAGTTTGAATGTACTTTCTTCTGGAAATGTACTTACATTGGTTGGAGGTTTCAACAGCACAGAATTCAAGGCAAAGAGACCAACAGAGCCAAAGATTCCCTATTGGGCTAGCATTATCTCAAAATGTTACTGCAGGTTCAAATTCCCTGACCCTGAAGAAATTAGAAATTGTGTTTCTTAACCAGGGTCTGTGGACAAGAGAATAGGGTCACAGGCAGCAGGTGATAGTTGATAAAGCACCTGCAGATATATTCAGAGGGAAGAATATAGATTTGTTTTGGGGAAGGGTCACAAGTTTCATTAGCTTCTCAAAGTGGCTCTTAGCTCCCCCCTTGCCCCCCAAAAAAGTTAAGAGCCTTTGTCCTGAAAGAGGAATGATCACCTGTTATCTGCGTCCATCTTCTTCTGGGGTAACCAAAGAACTGAGCCTCAGCCCTAGATGGAACATCTCCGCCATTGCAAATTCATTTCCACTTTGATGTCAAATTCTTCTACAGCTATTGAGAACTCAAAGTAAGAGATCCTTATTCTCAGAGAGTCACTGAGTAGATATGAAGCCCCATGGTTTGCTTGTTTACAGCTCAGTGTTTCATCAAGTGAGCCAAGAGTTGCTCTTCTAAGCTGGTGGCATCGTGGGGGCTTGTAGAGAGTGACGAGGGTCCTCCCCAGGCTGAGTTCAACCATGTCAACAGACATTCTGCTTCTCTCTTCCTCCTTTCTTGTCCTTACTCCTTCTACCTCCTTCCCCAACTACCACCACCATCACCTTTTAGGAAGCCTCAGCATGAACAGAGAAAGGAGCAGGAGCCAAAAAGACCTCACATCAAGAAGCCTCTGAACGCTTTCATGTTATACATGAAAGAAATGAGAGCGAATGTGGTGGCTGAGTGTACCCTAAAGGAAAGTGCAGCAATCAACCAGATCCTAGGCAGAAGGGTAAGTGCTGGGATGGTCTGTAAATGCTTATTGCCACTGTGGAGTGGCTTCATCACAATCTCCCCAAATTCAGTTGCATGTCAGATGGTCATCAGATGTGTTTGTATGACCAGCAGGCACTTGGGAAAGGAAGAAGGGCACAGGGTATGGTAACAGTGTTCTGGAAGATCCATGAGATAAGGCATTGTAAACAGCTTAGACAGTACTTGGCACATAGGAGACTTCCTGAAACTGATAACTGTTTTGACTGCCATTCTTAGAGCAAATATTGATTGTCTTTATTTGTCAGGCATGATGCTTGACATTAGGTGACAATTGGTGAGTAAAATAAATATAGCTCTTAACTTTTTTGAGCATAAAGTTTTGTGACTTGATATAGACAAATAATTACCTGATAAAATTGTGATAAATACTGTGGCTTTAATTAGCAGGAGCCTATGAGAAAGAACACCAGGGGCTCAGGAAGGCTTCTCTGAGCTCATGGCATTTAAGCTGGGCTCTGAGAGATGGGTACCGGTTAATGGGAATGGTGGACCAGCCAGCTCCAGCCAGAGCAGTGTGTGTGTGCACAATGGGAGGGGAAAGCCTGAAACCTGTTGAAGGAGCTAGAGCCGCCTGGCTGACAGACATAGCCACTCCTTCCCAGACAGAAGCAGAAATTTCTGCTGCGAGACGACATGGAAGAATTGGTATGATCTGGAGAAGTCTTCTTGTTTCTGGAGCCATGGCTTTCTGGTTCTTAAAGTGTACACGTGCTGGGTTTCTGGATTGCCCCTTTCCTTTTTATTCGTCATTTCTGAGCCACTGTTAACGTACAAGGCGCTGGGCTGTTACTAAGATAGACACACTAAGCTTCTTCATCCACCAGCTAGCCAAAAGACTAGGCAGTCCTTCTGAGTACTTTTTGCAGGATTGAAATGGCTGTCAGCTGGGAATCTGAAAAGTTGATGGAACCAATTTGAATTTGTCTAATTCAAAGTACATTTTCACTATACCTACATGATAATTTTAGGAAAAGAAATGCTTCATCATAGTTCATGTATGTGTGTTGGTGTCTTAATTTATGACCCTCGCATGTTTGATTTTACATCCTTTCAAGAAACTCATGATCTGTACCTGAATATCCAGGCGAGGAGGGTCTAACCACCCCCGTGAAGCATCGAGAATCATGTGTTACCTGTTGATGAGAATTTTTATTGCGTTTGTTCCCAACAGTACATTTGAGCATTCATAACAGAGAGCGTTCCACGTGAACCGGAGGGAAGCAGACCTTCTTGTATTATTGATTCCCATTGGATAGCTCAAAATGCAGCTATTACCAATCTGCAAGACACCAGGGTTTCCGGAGTAGGGTGCAGTGGTAGATTATAGTTTTGTGGTGTCCTGGGTACAATGCCCGATCTTCCTGTGGATTCTTAAACACTTAATAACGATAATTACAATAATTTCCCAAGCCAGATCATAGCAGATGAATGATTCCTATCATCTTTGAAGCACTCCACCTTAAAAGCCTAAAGGCTGATGAACATTTTCCCTGACTGTTTAAAAAAAGAAGCCAGAGGAAAAGGATTGAAGTTTTTATTTCAGCTCGTGTAACACTCCTAGCTTTTCTCTTTTCTTCTTTGAGTTAAAGGCCGCTTGGCCCTCCAGCAGGAATTACTTTCCTTCTCAAGAGGGTGAGGATATGATCTGGAGGTATGCTTCCTATCTTTTAATGCACGTTTCCAACATTTGCTACTTTCTCAGCTCCCTGAACGATCCCCAGATGCGAGCATGCGTCCTAAAGCATGGTTCTCATTTGGGGTCTCTTTCTGTCTTTGATTTAGACACCTGTTTCTATTTATAGGCCCCTGAGATCTTTGATTAAGATCAGGTTTTCTGTCCTTTTATAACTCCCCTCTGGCAGGGACATCCTTGCTAGGCTCTTTAAAGTCCTAGCTTTAAAATCATGGAGTTTTTACACTGAGATGATTAGACTTCTTAAAAATGGATCTTAAATCCATCCCAGAACATTTTATCTTCTGATTTTTTTTATTCATCTTTACTGAATCTCTAAGATAGAAATGTCCCATCATATGAATGAAAGTTTCTTAATTTATATTAGAAATAAAATTGTGACAAATCTTATTTTATAATAAACATTTACTTTTCAGACCTTTCTGGCTATTAAAGGAAGTCCACTTATCACAAACTTATTGTCAGAATATCTTCTTGGAACTATATGTTCTTAAATTTTAATGAATGTTTTCCCCCACAACTTGGCAAGACTTTGACAATGAAATTTAAACTTTCAACAAAAAAAAAAAAACTTAATTCTTTATTTTTCAGTAAGCAAAAAGATAGAATTGTTTCTGGTCAATTCTGTTCCAGAAATTCCTGTAAGGAAAGCACCATCTTTCTAGTCTTCACTTGGCTTTATTTTTGTTTTCAATGGAAAATTCAATACCATTGTGTTACCTACCATTTTGGTCTGGTAAATGATCTTTTATTTGTGAGCAGGTTTTGTGCACAAGAAATATCAGGGAGCTACAGGTATTGAAAATGCAAGTAAATGGTTTAGTTTATGCCCTGCTTCTTTGTCCTTGCATTTCATTCAGTTGTGTTAGCCTGGGGTCTTTCTATCAACCTGTCTTTCCTGCTTTTCCTGAAAAATAACTGGTTGTTTGAGTGGAAGACCCAACATTGGTTTGTATTTTGGGAGTTCATTTTTCTTTACAATTCTAGGTTTTCTCAGCAAGTTATAAAGCTGCCATATGTTACATAAAAATATACTAATACATTGCAGTATTAAAAGGCGTTGTAATAGCGGAATAGTAATTCTCAAATGAGTGGACGAATTTAAAAGGGAAGACTTCCTTCTAGACTTTTGTTGTCTTTTGTCCCACCCCCCAAATTTGGGGACACTTTGCTCCTTGCCAGTCACATTTATTTAGCATTAGTGGTATAAATATCAGTGATCTGTGTTTTCTCAAAAACAAAACCCAGGATGATGTTTTTTGTGGTAGCTTCCCACTGGGGTCTCCAGCACTAGGGCTGCTGGGAGCGGGGGCAGTGTGGCTGTCCCCGCCCCAATCATGCCTTCTGCTCTGGCTCCTTTTGTCTCGTTTTGCTTGTTCTACAAGTGCAAAGATCTGTGTTTAACATCACTTCTTCCCCCCAGGGTTGTTTTTCTTTTCTGCCACCTCCCCTGAATTTATATATTTATTTTTAAATAAAAGCACGGTACTTGATTTGCCTTTAGGCTCACACCAAGTCCTGCTGTGTGTCACGCTTTTTAACTTCACACTGTGCACTTGTAAAGCAATTAAAAAATAAATCGTCTACCCTACCCAACAAAGAGGGCCTGGCTTTTAAGGGGATTTCAAAGGAGGTGGCTTTTCTTGCCCTGCCTACTGTCACTCCTGTATCTGTCCTGGAAGCATGGTGGGAGGTGTCACTGGGGCCTCTTTGCATGAGATCACCTTCTTGTTCTGTTGTCCACCCAGACTGGCAGGCGTTTCTGTTTCCTCCAGGAAAGCTTCTGAGCCACACGTAAGGGCTGAGTCCAAGTTGATGAGAACTTAGACGTCACCTCCTCCAGGAAAATTTTTTCTCTCTCCCTCTCTCCTCCTCTTTTTCCTTTCCCCAAACCTATCCACACCTTTCTTTTCTTTCTCTTCTTTAAAATCAGTTTTTGAAAACAAGGTCAGGAAGATTAAAAAGCAATACACACGATAGCCATGAATGGGAAACTCCATACCCAAGAGCTGAGGACAAGCAGGAGTGGGAGGCTTTTGAAGGCCACAGGTTCCTCGTATAGCCACCGTCACCTTTCTACCCCTACCTATGGTCAATGAGTGCCTCAGAGCCCACCAATTCTCCCTGAAAGGATCTCTTGGCAGATTCTGGCATCCAGGAGATAGGGAAAATCATTGAAAAGTGTCTCCTGGGGCCCGAGGACAAGCTGAGTGCAAAATCGTGCAAAATTGTGTGCAATGCAGGCCCCTCAAAACTCCAAGGGGTGCCTTACCTACAGACACTATTTTGTTACTTACAACATAGACGCACATCAGTTATGTAAAAAGGAGACGGAACACGTGAAGGATGTCAGCAGCTCCATTGTCCATATTAGAAACTGCCACCTCAAATGCTAGCTGGCAAAATGAACTTAGATAAGTTGATACTGTCAATCAGAAGGAACCTAAAAACGCTCTCCAAAAGTGTGCTGTGTGAGTGCACAATGTCACCAGTGTTCTCCCCATAGACAGTGGGTGTGTGTTGTGTGTAAGTGTGAAGAGATGGAGACAGGCAGACTGACTTCTGATGTCTTTCCTGATAGAGAGGATCATATGATTCAGGTTCCAGACTTCATATGACAGAGTGGGAGCGTGTCTGTGAGGAGAGGGTGTGTCTGTCCTGAAAGGCATCTGGAAATTATCACATTTTGCATAAATAAATGGTGCATGCACTCAGATACAAAGAATATGCCACAGATGATGAAAGGGTGTTGAGGTTGACCAGTGAAAGTTCTTTTTAATTTATATTGGTAAAGAGAAAGGGTGGGGGTGACCGATCATTTTACTTTGCGTTTTGATGGACTTTGATGTGTTTCATGTGATATTGGAGAACAGGACAGAGAAACCAAAGTTGGAGTTTCACTCCAGCCTCCAGCCTCCAAGCAGACTTTTGCAGCTCTTGGTCGTCTGCCATTTAGAAATAAATAGAAGTTCAAATGCTTAATATTCGCACTTTTCAAAGTTTGAAACATGAAATCTGCTGTTGCTGTTTGGTTTACTTTTGTCCTTTTCCTCTTTCTGCCTTTTCTTTCAGTGGCACGCCCTCTCCCGTGAAGAGCAGGCTAAATATTATGAATTAGCACGGAAAGAAAGACAGCTACATATGCAGCTTTATCCGGGCTGGTCTGCAAGAGACAATTACGTAAGCTCCTCTCACACCAACAGCTGTTCGCTTCCACTCGTTTTGCACTTTCTTTTGCTTTCAAGAAGGAATGTGTTTTAGGGTGAATATAGTACTGATACGATTTCTTATTTCTGGAAATTAATGAACTTTCTAATAAACATTTCGTAGGTATATTCCCTTATGAAAGCTTTAAGCTGTCATGGTTTTTGCTGTGGTTGCTCATGCTTTTTTTTTTTTTTTTAAATAAAGTTTTTTAAAATCAATGTGGGGCCTAACCACAAAAAATGCTGATAAAAAAACATTTAAAAAGAAAGCCCATAATCTCACCATATAAAGGCAAGATCAGTAGTGACTGTTTACATCATCTTCCAGTATTTTTCTGTTTTTATTTTTTATAAGGATATAAACATGTGTGTACATGTGTTTTGTGTCATGTTTCTTGCTCATATATATCTATGTATATATGTATTTTTATTTTATAGTATAGTGTTTATGTATAGCCATATTCTAATCAATGATTTTCCTGCTTTTAGACATTTAAGTTGCTATTTTTTCCCTTACAAATATACACAGTCCTGCAATGAGCATGTCTATATATAACAGGCTCTTTTTTCTGTATATAGGACTATTATTTCTGTAGGAAGGATATAAATATTTTAAAAGCTCTTGATACATATTGTCAGATTTCTTTCCAGAGAATTATATTGTTGTACAATTCTTATAAACAATGTATTTCAGAATTAGGACTATGTAAAAAAAAATTTTATTCCATGTTAATGTACCTTAACATCTACAGTGTGCTTTACTCGGGCTGAGTAGATACTATCATGTTTAAGTTTGTATGCATTTTATTGGCAAGAATGACTTCATTTATATTGCCAGTTCTTCTATTGCTATCGAGTTTGAGCAGCTTACTAATGTAGTCTTGACTATTTCTGAGAAACTATATTATAAATGATACATTTGGAGTTTTATCATATTTTATAGAAAAAAGATTCTAATACTTTATTAAAATAATTAAAAAATTTGAAAGTCATCCATTTGTTCAGATTACTATCACAGACTATGATAGACAACAGGAATTTGTTGCTCAGGGTTCTGAAGCTGGAGTCCAGAATTGAGGCTCAGGAAGGCTGGGGACTGCTGTCAGTCTTCTGGCTGTGTCCTTATCAGTGGAGGGGTGAGGGAGCTGATCAGGTGCCCTTTTGTTTTTATTAAAATTTTATGTTTTTTTTTTATTCTAAAGCTTTATAAACTTCCACATCTTATTTTGCCATAAGACATATGGTAACACACTTGTAATGTTCCCAACATTGACTTACATGTTCAACTAGTGAATACTGTGACTTCCCCACCCCCTTTTTTTTTTTTTAGGTGTTGTGCTAGGTAGGGGTACATTGTGGCATTTACAAAAGTTCTCATAATATAACAAACATATCATACTTGAGTTCACCCTCTCTGTCATTCTCCTTTATTCATCCCCCACCCCCACTCCTGGAGTGGCTTCAACAGGTATCATTTTTCCATTTTCATGCCGTTTTATGAGGACACTGATTCCGTTGGTGAGGGCTGTGTCCTAATCCCTCAAAGGTTCCACCTCCTTATCCCATCACCCTGGGGACTAGGATTTCCACGTGTGAGTTTTGAGGGAACATAGTCTATAGCAGTTCTCACACTGCACATGACACTACTATGGAATGTCCCCAGGATAGTCCTTTCTTTCCCTCTTTTTTTTTTTTTGAGGTACTGGGAGGTTGATTGAACTCAGGGCCTCACAGTTGTTAAGCAAGCAGGCATTCTTCCCCTGGAAGCACGCCACCAGCCCAGAACAATCTTAATATAAGTGGAATTGTCCCTTCAAAAAAGGGCAAAAATGAAGCCATGGATCCATATACAATTTAATGTGTGGCCATTGCTGTAGATGCTCTGGTGGGGCTTTTGTTCTCACAGAAGTGACGACAGCGATTCATGTCTAAGATCATAAATTTCTTAAAGGCATCAGAGCTGTTTGAATACACATACAAACTATATCTGGGTTTGGGCTGCACAGTTTGTTTCCTATAATGTGCTCCGCAGAAAAAGTCACTTTACCAGTCAGAATTTGGAGCTTAAGCACTGGATATAACTTTAGCACGGGAAGTAAGACTCCTACTGTTACTGGTGACTGAAAGCACAGTCAACTGCTCGGAATTGTTGTTTTGGTTGTTTTAATAACAACCACATGCTGATTGGTGGGACTAGTCTTAAATTCTTTCTGTTACTTTCTAATCCTTACCACAATCCAGTTGTATGTACATCATTATTCTGTTTTTCAGGTGAGGAAATTGAGAGGTTAGGTAATTTTTCCAAGGCCATGTACTAGGTGGTTAAGCTGCAATTTATACCCAGGTCTCCCTGACGTCAAGATCTGCCTAGCTTCTCCTCCCCCTACGCCCCTCAGTGAATCAGCTCAGTCTCTCAATGTCTTTAAGAAGTCTGCTTAGTTGAAGAGTTTCTGCCCATGAACTGGGCTTCTGTTCTCTGAGCAGTAATTACCATTTGTCTGTATAGCGCCTTTGCTGTGCCCTGTAAGTGGGAAGGTCAGCACCCCCTCCCTCTACCGCCCCAGGGCTACACAGTGTCTCCTCCTGTCCTCCATGTGCTTTGAATTCGGTTTGCCTAGGAGGGGAGCCCTGCTCTTCCCTCTGACCCCTACAGGAGCCTTGTGAATTTGTGTAGATGTAGCATTGCTTATTGAATGTCTTTACATTTATGTTCTGAGCCTTACATAATGAACTTTCAATGTTTTTCTTTTTTTTTTTGCGGTACTGGGGTTTGAACTCAGGGCCTAGACCTTGAGCCACCCCATCAGTCCTTTTTTGTGAGGGGCTTTTTTTTCCGAGATAGGGTCTCTCAAAATATTTGCCTGGGCTGGCTTTGAACCGTGATCCTCCTGATCTCTGCCTCCTGAGTAACTAGGATTACAGGCCTGAGCTACTGGCACTTGGCAAGCTTTAAGTTTTAAAAAGACTTAAACATACACATTTTCTTTCACCTCTCTTTTTCACATCTGTTCTCACTCCTTTTTTCTCTTGACAGAAATGAAAAGAAAGTAGTTTCATTTTTAAAGGTTTTACATGATTTTGAAAGGAAATTGTTTTGCTTATGTATTCAAAGAATGAAGGGAAAATCCAGTGTTCCTGTCATTTTTTTAATTTTTTTTTTTTTTTTTGGTGGGACTGGGGTTTGGACTCAGATCTTCATGCTTGCAAAGCAAGCACGCTATACCGCTTGAGCCACACCTCCAGCCTTGTTCCTACATTTCTATAATAATAATAAAAAAAGAAGCCTATGAATGGCTAAGGCAATTAGAAGTCAATCAAGAGGTAGCACTTTAAAATAAGAGTTCAGGATCTAAGGATAAGGAACAAGGCACTCAGTGCCAGAATGCTATCCTGATCCTGACATAATAAGCATCTCAGTAACTTAATTAATATTAAAATATACTGTTGGATGGGTCCCAGGGTTTATAATGGCAGTTTGCTTCTATAACTTTGGCTAATAACTGAACTTTTCATGAATCAGTTGCACACGTTTCTTGGATGAGTTTAGTTGAATGTTTGTCCGATTGTTAGCACTTTGAGATTTAGTGCCTCATGCTTGTTGGTATTATAATCGCCTATGTAATTTTAATGAAAAGCATCTTTGTGGGGCGATGGAGACAGTGCTGAGACCCGGGCTGTGCTCTGATGGGGGGTGGCCATGGGTGAGGGCTCAGGGCAGAGCCCAGTACGCTACCTGTGAGGGGGCTGACCGTGGCCATGAGGTCAAGGACACAGAGGAGCTTGTATACAAGTGGAGTCTCAGTTCTGCCTGGGGAGGGGGATGAAGGGCAGGGGAGTTGAGAGTCCTGCGAGGGATACCGGTTGAAGCAAATGTTAAAGGGCAGATGGAAGTCAGGAGAAGAAAGTATGGAAGAAGTTTCCAGACACATGAAAACTACCTTATAGTAACTTCTGAAAACTGCAGAAATTCTGTTTGGAAGGAAGACAGTGGCTGCCTGTGAGAAGCATGCGCTCCTCCCGGAGCTCCCCAGTTCCCAGAGCACCTTAGTGATATTAAAGATGACGTCATCATCTTTATATGACACATGTGATGTGCCACTTATGCCCCCTGCTCGCTTTCGTGCTCATGAGGATAGTTTCCATCAGCTTTCTAACGCTTTAAGGTCTCGGTGGCCATGTGACATGAAGAAGAACTATCTTGAGGTGCACATGCGTTTATTTACTTATAGAGCCACAAAACATATTCAGCATAACATAGTTTTATTTTTGTAATAATATTTAATAATTACTGACATAAGAGGAGAGATACTGAATGTGATCTGTGTACTGTTGGGTTAGTTGAAAAACCCCAACACCACAGGTTGGCCGTTTACTATTCATATAAGTGGACTGTAGCTATACTGTGTTATTTTTGAGAGGAAAAGTAGTTGTGAAGAAAAACCGGAAACTAAGCTACTGCAAATGAGACCTAAACTTTAAAATTTGTCATCAAGATGCCTTTGAAGTGTCTTCAAAAGTACATGTATACCTAAGCCGTTGTGCCTATCTTAGGAAGCAAAATCCTTAGTTGGAAGTAAGTCTCCAAAATTTTGCTCTTTTTCTCAGGTTCTGTCTCATCTTTCTGTGTCTGTCCTTGGTTATGCCACAAGGCTGTGGGCACTCAGTTCCCACCAGGGACCTTCCCATTGCATAGTGGAATTCACAATAGTGTTCTGAGCTGAGCATGGAGGTCAGAAAGAGCAGGAAAGCCTCACAAAGCAGGCTTTCCTTGAAGGGCTTTCTGAGACCACAGCCCTGGAACATTCCCCCCGACCCCCTTTCTCACACACACATGCATGCACACCCCTTCTGACTCTGTTTCCAGATGCAGATGGTGAGGAGAGAGACAGCGATCACCTCCATCTCTCCTTGTCGGCTGTCTGTCTGTTCGTATTACTGTTCATTCCTGTGCTCAGGTTTGCTCTGTGACCTGACCGTGTGTCCCTCTCCTTCCAGGGTAAGAAGAAGAAGAGGAAGAGAGAGAAGCTACAGGAATCTACTTCAGGTGGGCGCCTTGTGCTTTGCGTCAATGCTCAGCCTTCTGACACGCACCTTGTAAAGTAGTCAGCCTCTTCCTGCCTCTGCTTCCTCTGTGACTATCATGTGCGACTCTTTAACTCTGCTTTCCTTCTGGAAATTCTTTTAAAAGACTTTTCTTTTAAATGTGAATGTGTAAAGGTATATGTGGAAAGTCTTTCCCAGCCCTGTCACCTGGAATCCTGGCTGGGAACTGTGGTTGACTTTGTGTGTTATGTGGGTTTTGTTTTGTTTTTAATTATTATTATTTGGTTGGTTTTTGCTTTAGTTGTCTGTATTCTCTTTGCTTTAACACTTCTGCTTTTTTCTATTTGCATACTCCTTAAAAATGTAACTTTATGATAATTATATGATATGCTACCTTGTATCCCTTCGAGAGTCTTTTCTGTGATTGGGTTTTTAAGACTAGAGAACATGATAGAGGTTTATCTTCCTTGTGTATTGATTCAAGGCACCAGTGAGGTCCCCATTTTATTCCCCTTTTTTCTTCCATTAAAAATAAGGTCACCACTTGTACTACACAAATTAAAAAATGGCTGGTATAAGAACCATAAAAAGTAAAGCAAACAGCTCCACATGATATTGTAAGCTACTGCGTATTTGGAATGTACAGAAACCTCTTCTGTAAAAATTTGTTAAAGACACAATTTTCTGCAGGTACAGGTCCAAGAATGACAGCTGCCTACATCTGAAACATGGTAAGAACGACTCTCTGGTCCTACTGCTGGCGGTAGCTGTAAACAGAGGCCCTTGCTTGTGAACCTTCTTGCCCACACCGATTCCCTTCAGCATCGCTCCTGAAAGAGGAAGGCTCCACCAAAATGAAATTAGTGCTTTAAAACTGATGGTTTTTATACCGGCTACATACCTGTAATACAGTGTGCTTTTTATCTTGATTCTTCTCTCCCTGTAGCCCCATTTATTATTTTTTTTCCATTTCTTTCCTCCTAACTCTTTCATCTCAACCATTTCTTACTGACCAGTGGCAAATCTACCTTAAAAAAAAAAAAAAAAAAGAACAAACCAGAATCAAAATGCCATCCTACTGGGCAAACCTGGGTGGGTCTCAGGAGTACCATTCTAATCCTGCTCAAAGTTGTTGCTTGGGGGGCTGGTGGAGTGGCTCAAGTGGTAAGAGCACCGCCTAGCAAGCGTGAGGCCCTGAGTTCAAACCCCAGTGCCGCCAAAAACAAGTTGCTGCTTGATAGAGATTCTTCCTTAATTGAAATGATAAACAGTTTGTTTCTAGTGCAAAAGATTTGCGTGCTTTATTTTTTTCTATTAATACTTTAAAATATGCCATGGGCACTTATCTGATTAATCCCATTTCTTCTATCAAGTATTTTTTTTATTGTTAACCATTGCTAGATCTCACTCTAGTATTCATTTCTTTTCACTATAATTCTTTTATTTCTATCCATGTGACCACTAGCCCAGGGAACCTGGCTTTGCAAATTAAGGCTTGGTCTTTGTTGAGTTGGAATTCATGTTGTTGTGTCCACAATTCTCAACAGCGTCACCTTAGATTCTGCATGCTCTCTGGAAACCCATATGCAGTCAGTCACCAAGTCCTGTTGACTCTACTTTGGCTCTCTCTACCTTTGGGGTCTGTCTTGTGTCTTGCCTCTCACACCTATCACTTACTTCATCTCGTGCTTAGCCTTTGGAAAATTGCCCTCCCTCCAGAATTCCTTTCTGCCACATCATCCTTGATGTTTCTCCAAGAGGGGTTTTCAAGTTGATTGTGTCAGTTTTCTACTTAAGAGGAGTTAGCCAGCACTCTTTACTGCCTGAAGGACATGGTACACATCACTAGTGTGGATCCATGTCTTCACCATTGGCACGTGGTTTTACCTTTAATCATTCGCTCTCTGTCTCTCTCCATTTCCACCCTAGCCTCTGTACCTGGCTCTGTCCAAATAAAATCATAAGCAGTTCCCCAAACAGATGGAGGTCCCTGCCTGAAATCCAGTTTGCTCCTACTGAGGAATAGACAGATCTGTGCAGCATTTCCTGGAAGACCATTACCTGTAGAAAATTCGTTGTTGACTGAACCAGGAGACTTCGCCTAAGCCTGTAGAACTTAACGCTGGTGTTGAAATTTTAGACAAGGAAATCTCCCAGCAGAGATTTTGGCACCAATGAGTTGTGAATTTCAAATCAGCTGACAGCCCAGACTGTCACCTTCAGCTTCTTAATCTTTCTTCTCCTCATCTGTAAGGTGGAAATGGTGATACCTATGGTACCTGCCTCAGGTTGGAAGTTGGGATGTGTGCACCCAATAGTGCTTTCCCCCCACTGTGACCTAAGACTGTGATCCTCTCCTCCGAGAATCTTTCTGGATCTTCATTCCAGTTTCTTCAGGTTAATTTTAAGACACCACAGCTGTCCTGAGCTAACCTCACTCTGCCTAACTCTCCTGAGTGCCTGCCTTTTCTCCCAGTGAGAGGACTATCCCTCCTATGGGTGACCAAGCAGCACTTCTAAAATGCAACCACAGATAATAATCGTATTTAACTTAACTCAGTAGCTGTCAGTCCAGGTCCTCTTTCAAGCTGGCTACCTGGTGTGGTTGTTAGGAGCACAGGCATGACTTAGACATGGCCCCTCCCCAAGGAGCTCCTGGCCTCACAGAAGTCAACCTAAGTCAAAAGCACCTGCTGTGCAGTTTTTGAAAGAATGTTGTACTCTTCACTACTGACCTCTTAGGAATGGTCACAGTCCTCCTTCCCATGTCCTGCCCCTGCATGGAAGGCCCTCAGAAGGGCAGTGTGCCAAGGGCACACACTCCATATATCCCGTTTGCCCCGAAATCTTTAAAGCCAACTTTCTGTACTAAGAGTCACGCAGAAATGTATTGTAATACTCCCAGTTTGGCATCTGACTTAGGCTTCCTCATGCTTAGTGTTATTTATTTTGATGTAAAAACTGAGGCTGTTCTAAGAAGCATCCCACATACCTCCTTTTTAAAAAAAACCAGTCACAGCTATTACGTCTTTTGTCACTTCTTTTTATGAAAGGTTAAAGAGTCCTCTCTGTCCTATACAAGAAAAGCAAAACAAAGATTCCCTGGTCCCAAATTCTTAGCAAGCCACAGCTGGGTGAGGCTCCAGTATCTCTGTGTTCCTCTCCCTCTCCTTCCCTGGGTAGGTTGTGTGACCTTTGAAGTCACCGTCCCCCACCTCATCCTGCTATGGAGAACAGAACCAGCAGTCACTTGATGAAGAAAGAAATGCAGATCTGTATGTAGAAAGATTCAGTAAATGAAATGACAATATTCCTGTCATTTCGCTGCCCCTGTCTTTATATTAGGACTTGAGAAACGTTTCTATGCGTGCAGTGACAGTTGCCACCACCATCTCGTGGGCATCTGATAGGCACCAGGTAGAATTGTAAGACCTGGCATGCAGCATTGACTCTTTACGGTGCTTGCTGCTTTGCTGTGATGATCAAAAATAAACAGGGGAATAGAAGTACCATGATGCACACGAAGCAGGGAGCTGGCTGGAGGTTTGCTTTAGGTGGGGTGCTCAAGAAGCCTCCTGCAAGGAGGAAATGATAATTGTTATCCCTGAAAAACACGAGGCATTCTTTTCTGGAACAGAGCAGTAGCAAAGAAACGAAAGGAAAACAGGGCCAATGTTGTGGAAAGAGAGCAGACTAGGAGTGAGGACACCCAGGCTTTCACATTAGTCCCGTGTGACCTGGGGAGCACTGGGCAGGACCCTTCGAGCCTCTGGATGTGGGGTCCTTGGGTATGCGCGAGAGGATTGAGCTCCCCAACAGCCACTCCCTCACATCCAAATTCCCAGTCTTCGCTCCCTCCCAGTGTTATGCAGAGGACTCGCTTCACTAATTGGTAGTCGTTGGTAGAGTGGTTCTGTGTGACCTTGACAGTGATTTGTACCCAGCAGGGAGGTACAGATCATCTCCACTGCCCTTCTCCTCCCCAGTGGGCTGCCTCGTGTTCTGGGCCCCTAGAAGCACTGTTACAGTGTGACGGCTGGTTTCTCACTAGTGTGGCCATAGAGCTCCTTGTTTGCCAGAGTACAGTCACTTCTGGAGACCACTCCACCTGAGAAACAAGCAGAGGACAAAGTATTTGGTTAGCACTGACCTTATGAAGAGTGTGAAGTGAAATCTCATCAGCCTGTTTTCAGTTCTGGAGAGACAAAGCCAGAAAAGGTAAAGCTGGTACTGGGCAGAGACGAGAGACCATAGCTGCACTGTGATAAGATTTACTCGAGAGGCTTATTCCTCTTATGTACACAGCGAAGCTTAACACTGTGTTTTAAAACTCATTATAATTACTGATGCCTATTAATTATACATATTATGAATGGGGTGACATTTCCATGCATGCATATAGTGTGCTTTTGTCATACCTGCGCTCCTAAATACCCTCCTTCACCCCTTTCCTCTAGACCTCACCCTCCGTAGTCTCCTTTCCCTTCCCTAGCAGTCCCTCTGTTACTTTCAGGTCATCTCTTTTTTCTTTCTTTCTTTCTTTTTTTTTTTTAATTCTAATTTCCACACATGAGAGAAAACATATGATACTTGTCTTTCTGAGTCTGGCTTATTTCATTTAATATGAAAGAAATTCTAACCATTTCCCTGCAAATGATATGTTTTCATTCGTTGTGGCTGAATAACACTCCATTCTGTATAAATACCACATTTTCTTTATCCATTCATCTGTTTGTGGGTACAGGCTGATACCGTAATTTGGCTGTTATGAACAGTGTCACAATAAACATGGGTGTGCAGGTATCTGTTGTATGTTGGCTTTGATTTCTTCCAGTATATAGCCAGGAATGGGACAGGTGGATCATATGACAGCTCTCTTTTTAGTTTTTTGAGGCACCTTCCTCCTGATTTCCATAGTGGTTGGACTAATTTACGTTCCCACCAACAGTATTTTCCCCCTCCATCCTCACCAGCATTTGTGTGGTTGGTTTTGTTGTTTTTTCTTTCTTTTTTGGGATGATAGCCATTCTGATCGTGGTGAGGTGGAATCTCGGTGTAGGTTCAATTCGCATTTCCTGGTGGTAAGTATGCTGAGCACTTTTTGGATACTTACTTGCCATTTGTACTTCCTCATTTAAAAAGTGTTCTGATCTTTTGCCCACTTATCAACTGGGCAACATTTCTTCTGTTAATTTTTTGAGCTCTGTGTATACTGTAGATGCTACTCTTCTATCAGATGAATGGCTGCCAAGGGTTTTTCTTCTGTTCTGTAGGCTCTCTTGGCTCTTTTCCTTTGCTGTGCAGAAGGTTTTTAATTTGATGTAATCACATATATCAGTTCTTGCTTTCATTTCCTGAGGTTTGGAGTCCAATTCAGGAAATTATTGTCTTGCCTAGATCTTGAACTGTTCCCTTGTGTTTTCCTGCGGTAGTTTTCAAGTTGAAGGTTTTACATTAAGGTTTTTGATCCCTCTTGAATTGATTCTTGTACAAGGTGAGAGACAGGGGTCTAGTTTCAGTCCCCTACACGTGAATGTCCGGTTTTCCCAGCACCACTTGAGGAGGCTTTTTCCCAACATCTGTTTTTGACACCATTGTTGGGAACCAACTGGCTGTAGCTGTGTGAGCTTATTACTGGGTTCCCTAGTCTGTTGATCTACATGGACACTATCTTTGTACAGGTGTAGAAAATTTCTATTAAATGAGGAAGATCATTGAGCTTAGACCTTCATATGTATGGCGCAAATGCTTTTTTTTTTTTTGAAGCCCTCTTTCTACTGGGGTTTCCACTCCCTAAAATACACATGGGTTCTCTAATGCTTCTGAGCTCCCTGGAGGAGGCACTGCAGTTGCCTTGTGGAGCCCCCTGAAGAGGTTGGCCAGGAAAGTAGTTCCTCCTGCACCAGTTGCTTGCTGTGTTCCTGTCGCCTGT